TATCGAAACAGAAGTAATTGCAGTGAATGGAGTGCTGATCATCCCATCATCTAAGAATGGATTTCCTTGAAGCGTCGCATTCTACCGTGACACTGTGCTGACTGCTTGATAGGCATAGAAAAGACTCTCACTTGATGGATGGTTGCAGCATTAAATTTGACGTTTTTATATAGCCAACTTTGACGTCATATTTCCTTCGTCACAGTGTGACGTCTTAATAGTGACGTGCTGTGTAGATCCTTGTGAGACTTTCTTAATGTTCTTTATCAAGGGTTTCCTTGACACAAAGCTTAACATCGTTCATAACACGTTATTGTTATACAGCCAACTCAAAAACGAGGTACGGGAGACACAGTCGTCTTAGGCCGTGAAATTCACGGTACAGAGTTGTGTCCCTTGGGTGATGACCAACGTCAAAACTAGATAATCTAGATTTGTATATTGCGCGACATATGACAATAGTGTCTGTGTCCGCTTCCATTCACCACACATACACTACTGTTCGAAAGAAACGTCCCTTCGGCCGCAAACGTTCTTAGAAGTGTTGGATATGCACGTATGCCTGTCCTATTTACGATGTCAGCATCATTCAGGTCGTACTGCGGGATGTTGCGTATGGCTTTACACCATGGGCATCTTTCGTAGTTAGACATCGTTTTCAACGCCATTAACACTAATGACTTTATTTGGAGCGCAAAATATGTTTTCCGGCCGAAGGATGTCCTATAGACATGGTTCTTTGATTTGATTTAATCCTCTAATGAACAGTGTCTGACTGTTTCTGTAGGAATATATAAGCTCCTTACAGCGTCTCTAAAACAAGCTAAACGGTATCTTCGGGTACATCAGAGGTGGTTAGTACATGTTTCCTTGCAACTGACATTATTGCACGACATGCATTGGAGGATAACTGTTCGGTGTTTTCAGATTTGCTGGTTTCATGGACTTTATGGGCATCGCATAGTCAATCTAAAATCTCATTTTGTTTATCGTCATTGTGAAATAAAACAAATTATTAGTCATTAGCATAACGTTGCATAATTTCGTGAAGACTAAACTCGCCTGATTAGCAGAATGTGGGAAAATACTAGAACATCGAAGTTTTTTTCTGATGACACTTAAAAGAACTTGGTATCTATTTCTCCTAGGCTAATGTCAAGGTTTTTTTAAATTTGAGATTTTGAAAAATAGATACTTATTAAAACAAAGTATTCATACGCAGTGACAAATCTGAAAGATTTCCGGGCTTCAATTCTTATTATCCATGTTTTTCATCAAATCAGTGAGTGGGGTTTTACGCCGCTTTTAGCAATATTCCAGCAATATCACGGCGGGGGACACCAGACATGGGCTTCACACATTGTACCCATCGAACCCGGGTCTTCGGCGTGACGAGCGAACGCTTTAACCACTAGGCAACCCGATCGCCCTCATCCAATCAGATTGCAGTGTACACACATATTCGATTTATAAATGTTGGAGCCCAACACTTACTGTATTCATCAGGAGTCTCGGGTTCGAGCCTTCAGTTATATTCCTGCGTATACTTACAACTCACATACCCCCTACTTCTAGTTATACAAGTCTGCAAACACGCTATATTAGCATTAGAGTCAACGTTATTAGCATTTACTGGCTGAAAACAGCCCATACCTAATTCATGAACATATGGTGCAGGCATTTATACATATCAATACTAGAATACAATTAGAACAGCCTATATATGATAAATATAGAATACTAAACGAGCTCCCGTGTAATACCAATTTTAATAAACGAGTGAATAGTTCTGGTATACCACAACTATTCACGAGTTTCATAAAATTGGTTTTACACGGGAGCTCGTTTTTTTAATTTTTTATATTCTATTTATTACTTGCCATTTATAACGTTTTAAGAATTAAACTGTTGAGTTTGAATAGGCTGACACCTACACGATCCACCGCATAATCTAATTGAGTTTAACAGAATAATACTTCAAACACGTCAAAAGTTGAAACGTATGAATTTTATGCCATACAGCGGTCAACCTTTAGAATTCAGGCGTCCGTTCCACAAAATTATCGTAGCGCTAAGGTTATCGCAACTCACATACTTTAACTTAGACTATCGACTGTCGTTGCGCTACAATACGATCGCCTTGTGGACCGGGGCCTTGCACCTCAAAGTTTACAATCACGTCACAATACCCGATGACGTAATTTGTTGCAAGATCCATCGGCGAAACAATGCCATGTGACGTCAGCCTAGCAACAAGGTTGCTAGGGACATCGAGTGGGCATAAGCTCCTCTCAGTGATCTATCATCTCCACGCGCAATGTCGTTGAACAAGCCAAGGGATGTTGAGAGCTTTGTATATTTGTTCGTGAAACGTGTTCCGAGAGGACATAAGCACGCGTTTTGGTATTACACAATGTGTAATACAGCTGTTTGTATATTAAACGGGTGATCTCTTCACGGGTAAGTAATAACATAAAATAATCTGATATTGTATTGGCCATCATTTATTAATTACTTTTAGTCCGCTCTCCCTCCAACTGGAAAATAAAGATAAATAAATAAGAAAGTATACACCTGTTTGATTGTGGTACAAAACAGAAATGGTTATTCGATAGTGATAGATTTTATACGGGTGTCATAGTTGTGTATAGGTTCTTAAGTTTGCAGTGTTTCGGCGACGTTTTGATATAATGTTAAACTTTGTAATCTTCAAGTGTATTCGCCTATTTGGGCGTTGTGTAAAAGCGCGGCGAAATAGGGCAGTGTAAATAATACAGTCTTCTGGGCTGGGGCACTGACTTAAAGGTCACTCTAACCAGTTATGTGAACAATATTTTTATTTTTATAAACTGAACAACGGTAATCATTGGTCATATCATCAAACTCAAATCAAGTATATCATTATGAAGCAGTTGACCACGAACAGAAAGGGAGGTGGGCGATATCATTTCTTGTTGCCACGACAGAACGGAGAGAAGGACATGCCAGTGCAAGTTCAATAGCTGCAACGTCTCTACAATGGCATATCTTTGAAGAGATTACAACCAATTTAAGAGACTGGTGACTTATCCCCGTCATGAAACATTCATGACCTGTGACTATTTTTTAAATAATGCTTTGAAACATGCAGAAATAGGCACAGTTTATTTATCGGTGAAGAAATCAAAACTGCTGCCGAGGCTGTGTTTAACTTAAAATGTATTTCGTCACTGGCATATAATTAGCTATATCTAAATGTTGTTGAGACTGCTACGTATACATAAATATTGCACACTGAGACATTGACATATTCAAAATATCTGTCTTCAGGCGTATTGAAGTAAATGTGCAATCCAACTTTTTACAAAACTATTTTTATCATTGTAACGAAAAATATTTTGAAGATAAATATATATAAAGATTATTTTGTGCATTCAAAATAATTTGACATGCATAATCAGCAAATAGATGGCATTTTGTAAACATTTGTTTGAGAAAAAAACGCCTCGATATTGCTGGAATGTTGCTAAATGCGGCGTAAAACCATGATACAAACTATTTGAGAAAACAACATAATAATTCATCATGTGAATCTAAATTTAACAAAGGTGTACTAGTGTTGAACGTTCACTAAACTGACTAAGTTCTGTTTTTGTTGCATCAAGTATAATGAATACAGTAAACATACTTTTCCAAATAACAGGTCCATCTTTCCTGGTATTCTGTGTCACTAGATGCTGTCTGGCACTATATCCCCGGCGAAGCCGTGCAGTGACAGCCAAGACAATCATATCTAATTACGTCAACCGCCCCTATGGCCAGCGATCCTTCGTGACTCTTCATAAACATCCGGATAAAATCCCTGTCCTGGGATAAGTGTGAAGGAGTCATACAAAGGACGGCGCCACGGATGCTGTCTTCAGATGTACAGCCAGTTCCACGCTTAGGAACATTTGGCGTGTTCATCAATTACACACTTTATCTGGGGACGTTGATTCGACTATGTATAAAAGAGCAACTATTGACCTTTAATGAACGTGTTTTTTTACTTCCGTTTGATATCACAACTTAATTTTCAAATATGGAAATGGCAAACTAATAAAGAGAATGTATTGGTATAAAGTTTGTCACCTCAATCCGCGTAAAATCAATTTCCTTCGCGAAGTGTCTTAGGTGATCAAATATTTCGCAATGAATTTATTGAAAACAGTCGTGTAAAGATAAATCTGTGAATCTGCGCGCGTGCTTGCGTGTTTGTGCGCCCGTGTGTGTGAAGGCAATGAGATAAACACATTGGTGTATATTACAGACATTTATGCGTATTCAAGATTGGTTAAAGGTTATGTTTTTCAAGAACAAATACGGGAGAGACATTCGGAGAGATGGTGATTCCAGAGATTTGTCTCGACCTTCTCCCGATCGCACAGCTTGTTACTCAAGGTAACGTATGGCGTCACCCTTTATTTGATGACGTATCGGCGTTCATACGTGACTGTTTATTCAGAAAGACAATGTTATATACCATCACTCAACAGAGGGATCTCTCAGCAGCTATAAGTGGTATCTTTCATCCATGCGTATGTATTCATAGCCAATCTCTTTTTGATCAATATATGACAACATTCACTTCACATTATGTATGACATGGTGAGTACTGAGTATGTTGGCAAGTAAATACTTGTTACACATATGAGAACACATTAAACATAAGCTTATGTGTCCTAATGATTTAATACAATAATTCAGTTCCTTTAAATCTAACGTAACTTATAGTTACTCCATGTGTAATATGTTCATAAAGACATGCATGCATCTTACCGGTAATACTGAATAATTGCTAGAAAAGCACAGCACACAACATGTACACGAAACGTTCATCACGTACCGAAATGCTAGAATAATACCAAATAGCATTTATGTTGAAGATCTAAGTTCATTTATTTTGATCATAAGAATCTGAAAGAAACTCCAACGTCAGTTTGTTCAGTATTTAAAACAATATAGTCAACTTATGTACTTACCTGATAATATTCGACCACTTTGCACATGGCATTGCCCAAAAACCACGTTTCCCATATAGACTGAGTGTACGACGGCGGAAGACAGAGGACGATGACCAGAAAATCCGCCACGGCCAGATTCACAAGAAAATAGTTTGTGGTGGTCCTCAACAGCCGGTTCCTCCAGACTGCAAAACAGACCAGGAAGTTTCCAGACACTCCAAAGATGAATACAAGTACGTACAGTATAGTAAATATCCACTCGTGAGGCTTGGGGTATATGAATGTATAGATGGAATTCATTAAATCCTCGTCCGACTGATAGCATTGCTCTATCGGACCTTGTTTGGGATAGTAATGCTTGCACGTGTGGTTGGTTGAATTCATAACCACCATTGTGATTTCAAAGGTCTTCCTGTCCGTATTCTCGTAACCTTTTCATGTAAAATGCAGGTTTTAGACAACGTTCATTTTACCAAGTCACATTCTCGTTGCGAGTCCCTCGAACATTGCTTGTTGTTGCGTTGGTTTTGTTTACAACTTTTGAATTGTAACGAATATAAAGCGTCAAAGCCAGATAACATCTGGCACGTGTTTGCCCATGGACATATGCTTCCGATCCTAACCATGCTAGTTATGTCATATGCTGCACAGCATGAATTGATACTGTGTTATCCACTTGTGTTCATTCCGTTTGACTTTTGTCAATAACATGTGTTAAATCAATAGGAATTACACTCAAAAGTGATTACGTTCAAAATGGCATTTCACACAGACAGGATTCTGCAGGGAAATAGAAATACCAGAGGCATAAATCATCCAAAACTCTACCATGCGCATCAAACTTTGATATACACTTGCACACGTATGTCCAACTGTGCCATACTCTACATCCAAAAGCTTCTTTCGCGTCCTCTAAAAAATGTCCTCTACTTCTCAGTGTCAAATTGCCATACTCGCGGGTTAGTCAATATACGGTATAAAATCCGACTTTTATGAGCCAATGAAGATGGTTTATGTCACATCATTGAAATCGTGTACAGTGTGACCAGTACATCACATGCAACATTCCCTCATCACTTGGTATTTGGAAGCTGAGAAGTTGTACATGGAAGCCTCTGTAACCCCCTCGTGGCTATCACCTGAACCTCACATGTAGAACCCAGACAGATGGTCCTGATCGTTTACAGAGGCCCCCGTAAGAGAAAATGATTGACGGAAATTGCTGCCACTTTCCACCAGTCACAGCGGGGCTCGGAGACAATCGATAACCACGCCCCGTCGTCAGAAGAAACATCTCCGGCCTGTACCGTCGGGAGATGAGAGAAATAGATGAATGCTGCATTAGACACGAAATCATATTTCTTCTTGAGACTTGATTTATTTTTAAATTTGTCTTCGTAAATGGAAATGACATGAACTATTTCTTTCCTGAATTCCAGAATCATAAAAACTTAACTCCCTGATTTAAATTTCAACTTCGTTTCATCGGAGTTTAGGGATGTGGGTATTTTATATTCTCGATAAATTGCTCAATATGAATTTTCCCTTGGGAAATGATTCATATATTAATAGCAGTTTAAGCCTAAATTGAACCATTACTTATTATAGAACTTGTCTCCTAAAGGCTGCTCTAATAGCGGCTCACGTACACAACGACGTTCGGATTCATTCTGTATTGATCTTTTAAAGGTATCTTGTTACATGTTTTGTCAGGATAACACGACGCGCGTTGAGTAAATGTACTGTCAAAATGTGAAACATTTGGAGTGTTGACACTTGATTACCAAGGTAAGCGATTCCTTTAAAAGGCCCAGACTAGGTGTCAAAAGTGAGTGTCTCGGAACAGAATTTTCCAATTCCTTACCAGTACCTTACCTATAGGTGTACTACCTTCAAACAGGGTTGAGTGAGTGAGTGAGTGAGTGAGCGTCAACATTCTTTTTCATGAGTATATAAAACCTCTTCTGCAGAGCTGTACGTGCGAGACCATCACGCCACGTCTTCCTTTCTGGACCACCAGGTGTCCTGTGCTTTACGTGCGACATTGTTGGTGTCTTAGAAAAAATTCAGCACACTTAACCATGGGGTAAAACGTTTTTCAAGTCTTTCAGTTGGGGACAAAATGTTCTTATCTCGCCGCCTTGTGTACTTCCATGTTACGTCCAATGCTTTTTGTAACGTGTGATATTCTTTTGCTGGTTAATGTGTTTTTGTTCTTTCGTTAATGGCGATCAAATCGACGTTAGTGCATAGCATTAAATGTAATTAGTCATCGTCGAATACTATTCTTACTAAGAGAAGCATTTTCCGGAATAAGGAAGTGTGATATAAGTGATACCAAGACAGCTTTAAGAGCTGGGTACAACGGCTGTTTAACATGTATTTATTAGCCAAACTGCTTCTATTTGTTACTTCCTGATGATTAAAGTTGAAAGTCGTGCTTGTACATAACTGATTGTTGCAAGTAATACTCCCAGGACGCAGTCTATCCCTTATGGTCCCTTTTATAGCAATCTATCCCAGTTCTTGCTCGGATTCTGGTCGTGGCTTTGATCTCTGTCGCTGAACTAACGTTGTCATGTAATTATATTCTCCCAGTGAAACAATAGGACCGCTTCTTATCCCAAGATGCATACAGTGAAGTAAAGCACAGTGCTAGCCTGACCTCCATACATCATTACCTCCATACATCATTGCCAAGGATAAATCAATCAAACATGCTGCTGTGAGACGTTGTGGCAGTTGATAGGTTAAAGAAAAAGAGTTATTTTTTTACCAGTTAATCTCCTGTATTGTGGTGGTTATATGAATCACAAACCCAGTGTGTAGCGTTATTGTTTCTCCTCGATGCACAGTTACATCATGGTATGCTGTTTCAACTGGAGAAGTGATTAGATCTTCCGATATTGTGGTGCTGTTGTCAACACATCACTTCTGTGAAGTTTGTTTGAGTTTCTAGGCTAGTGCATTGCAATATAAAACTGTTTTACTGTCCTTTATCATGTTTATAACAGTCTACGCGTGCTTCCGTGTAACCCAGTTACATGTATCAGCAACCGTTCTATATGATATACCTTGGGTTTATATCGTTCGTTTGGTTTGTTGGTTGGTTGGTAGTTTAACGCCGCACTCAGCAATATTCCAGCTATATGACGGCGGTCTGTAAATAATCAAGTCTGGACCAGACAATCCAGTGATTAATATCATGAGCATCGATCCCGTTGGTAGCCTCTTACGACAAGCATAGTCGCCTTTTAGGGCAAGTATGTAAGCAGAAAGGAAATCCATATGTATCGATTGATTTTAAGCTTTCTTGTCGTATACAAGTCGAGTATCTTTCATACAAGTACGACCCGTGAAGATTCCGGGGTAGAATAGGTCTTTAGCAACCCAAGCTTGCCGTAAAAGGCGACTAACGGGATCGGGTGGTCAGGCTCGCTGACTTGGTTGATACATGTCATCGATCCCAAATGCGTGGATCGATGCTCATATTGATCACTGGATTGTCTGGTCCAGACTCGATTATTTACAGACCGCCGTCATATAGCTGGAATATTGCTGAGTGCGGCGTTAAACAACAAACCAACCAACCAATCATACAAGTACAGTATTCAAAGAATATCATGTTTCGTATTTCCTTATTCCAAGCATACGGGGACCATAAACGTCGTCAATCATTACAAGTTAACATAGTACCTCATAAAACAATATCGGTGGAGTTGTGATTTGACAATATTTATTTGTTGGTTGTTTAACGCAACACTCAGCAGTAGTCTATCCATATGACGGTCGTCTGTAAATTGTCGAGTCTGGACCAGACAATCTAGTGAATTACATCATGAGCATCAATCTACGCAATTGGGATACGATGGCATGCATCAACCAAGTCAGCGAGCCTGACCACCCGATCATGTTAGTCGCCTTTAACGGCAAGTATATGTGGTCTGATCTAACAATAATTTCAATTCTTGATGCACTTGAAATTGATCCATTTGATGGATGGTATAAATTGCAAACACGACTTATATTTCAGATTCAGCGTCATGCCATAGTGCATAACTCATTGAATCATTGCAAACATACTTATTTGTTCAAAATTGGAATAACTTCTTCAGATTATCCAGGTACAATTCGTTAGAAGAAGAATATTGGGCATCTGGGCTATATAACGTTCAGTATGTTCATTTTTGTAAGCTCGCGAGTACATATTTTAAAGAAAACTATTATTAACTGATTTCAAACTTCTTTGACACCTTATTTCACTCAGCAGAAACAAGAACGCACCTGTAATAATCAGACCGTGTGAGTGAGTATGGTTTTACTCAGCCTTTAGCTTTAACGGTGGGGAACAGCAAAAATGGTCTCCACACATGTACCCATGTGGGGAATCGAAACGGGGTTCAGGCGTGACCAGCTACCCCACCGCCCCTTATATAATCAGAACCATGGAAATACATATATACTCAACAACAAAAGTTCCTATGACACCAATATTTCTGTGTATGTTTGGTTTTCAATATTGTAGTACATGTATGGAATCAAGTCACAAAACCGCAACTGCTACAGAAAAGCACGCGTTCCATGCAAAAGTTGACTTTTATGCAAGCCCCATGCATTTCACTACCCAAGAATGGGTATAAAAACATATGCGTTAACGGGATTCCATATGCAGTGTTTAGAATCGTGCTGACAACCACCACTCAGAAAGACAACAAAACTACGCAATTATTCAACATTACGAAATGCCACGCCTGTCCGAAAATGAGCGTCTGCGAGCCATTGGTATGCTTGAAGCAGGATCGAGTCAACGTGATGATGCAAGACAATTTAACGTTCACAGAAACACCATTTGGTGTTTATGGCAACGTTGGCAACAGGCGAATGCAATTCGAGACCATCCTCGGAGTGGCAGGCCACGCGTAACCAATAATCGACAAGACAACTGGATTCGAACAACACACCTACGATAACGATTCCAGCCAGCAACTGCATGAAGCTTTGTGCGACGCATGAGACGAAGATGTGTTGCTTGCATCGCAACCAGAGGTAAATTGACATTTTGGCTTGTTCATGTTTTTATTTTATAAAATCACGCATTTTCTGAAGTCAGTATTGCAAATTCAACCATTTGAACACTTACAGGAGTCTTATCTGTTGCAAACCGAAATTGTTTCAGATTTGGTAAAAAAAACATAACTTTGCATTAAATCTTATTCAATGTCACAGGAACTTTTCTTGTTTAGAATACATGAACAATACTTAAATATCTGCATAATATGTAATTTCACGCATCTAGTGCAGCTCTTGTTTAGTTTCTGAGGCTGCATCAGTTGCCCAGACACAGCACAGGACATCATTTCTAAGTGTTCATGATGGCCGTTGTGATGGACCTTTGATCTGTTCAATCGCCCGTTGTATAATTATCACTCGTGCCATACGCCTGCCAACAGTGTATAATGTTTGACGCCACAATAATGACATATGTTGTCATATTTCTCCCCCAAACCACCAGACAGCACGTTTAAGCGGCCACTTTCTAATCGGTAAGCTGTTGATAAATGTTCACCAATTGATATGTGCGAGGACTCTGTCATTGTTAATGCCTTTTCGTATCGTTCTGTTATGGGATGATCGGCATGAGCCGGATGTTATATTAATCACTAGTAATACCACAGACACACTGTGTTAACTTAAGGAATGCCCAAATAACCACAACTGATGTCTTTGGTAATCTCATGGAGGAAGGAATGCTTAAACGAGTGATATGTTGTGAATGCTACATACATTGTAATCTCTGTCACCACGCGGGATGTCAATCTCAATCACTCTCAGTACGATCATAATAAAAGCGACAAAACCCTTTCCATACATCCGTCTGTATCATAAGCATGTGTTTATGAATCACTATCAAATAGTGATATCAGGTTTTCACTGAAGGGTGAGCACCCATCACAGACAAATGCAAAGGTATTTCAATTGTTCTCCTGAAAACACACGGGAGCACATGGTACATGTCAAAATATGGAAGTGCATCGAACATCATTTGGGTCAGCGATACGTCATATTTGGATATGTCCTCCTTATTCCTACCGTAGAATTTTTTAAAGCTTTACACTGGCATTGAATGTTGTAATCCTGAACAAAGC